AATTTTAAACTTCAATTACCGCTCTTAACAGAGAAGAGGGACGGTGGTTCGTCAATATTTTACCTGGATGTTTGACGTACGATCAAGGTTTTCTGGTCGGGGGGTTGACTTAGTCAATATTTCAATCCCAGAGGACCATAAAGGGGTTTATCCACAAGAGACACATATAAGAATATGGATCCAGCTGACTTGAAAACTAAAAGTTGTAGCCTATCAACAAGATGAATAATAAAAAGAACAGCATTCTTTTCTTTTCCTTTAAACAGAGATTAGGGCATGTGGAAATTGAGAAATATTTAAATAAACTTACTGAAATTACTGCACTGCAGATACAAGGTACTTTCCTAAGGTAAATAGATAGGTCCACACCTCAGTGGATTTGTAATGACAGTGAACATTACCCAACTCACAACTCATAAGACACTATGTCTGAACACAACCAGGGCCTTTTCATTTACAGTTACTGACCCAAACACTGTATCACAGCACATCTCAAAGCCTGTACCTACAGCAGGCTGTGCAGCCAGTGGGCTCCCTGGACATGACATCGACTCCATGATTTAAGTGAGATCGTAAAAATCTAAATGGAGATCGGAGGCTAGTTGCTTAATTGACCTTTATTGGGCTTTCTGCTTCGTTTGAAGACAGGATATTAAATTAACATGATAATTCAGACCCAGCATGTTAATGCACCCCCAGACCCCCTTACCTCCCCTTGCACTCCTGCATTTTAACATCGCCCCGTTACTTTTATGGCACCCATTGATTTAGCACTGCTTTTTATTAACTGACTTTAATTTCCCATATAGGCGCACACTCGCAGAAAGAAGGTTTTATTCCAATTGAGCGGTGCACTGTTACATGACTGAGGGTTTATGGGGCCATTTCTATTAAAAACCACCTCTATTCTCACAGTGACATATAAAGGCAGTAGCACAGGGATGAAAGTGAAAGGAAGGAAGCTGGTGGTTTGTCTCAGGACCAGTGGCTGAGGCAGTTGAGGAATGGTTTAATTATCTTCACCGGCAAACTTCTCTATTCCAGTGATGTACTGGCCAGGGGGAAAATTACTGCATGAAATTAAAGCCTCTAATGTGTGTTGTCCACTAATTGTGATGTCGATCATGTATGTAGTTGATTCTGGTGTCACCCAAGTTTCACAGACCATTTCTGTACTATGCACAACAAAGTGTCCAAAGATTAAAATAAACCCAAACATGCAGAATATATAATAATATTAATGCAACAATACAAATCACAAGCATTTACATAATTTCAATATTGAAGTTGTGCAATTGTGTAAAAATAAGTTGTCTAATGGCCCTTTAGCCAGAGCGTCTGAGAGAGTGCTACTGCCCTCCAATGGTGGTAGTGTAAACCTTGTAAAGGTAACTGCAGCAAACCAGCAGAGGAGGTTAGGGTTAAAGTTAGGGTTAGAAATTGGAGAAAATGTCATATAGTTTAAAAAGTTGTTCTGGTTGCTAAAAAAATGACTTGATTATAAATTTAGTAATAGCTTATAGTCAAATTAAAATGTCCTTGTTTAAAAAGATGTGTTATAATTGGCACTTTGTTAGTAAGGATTTTAAAAGGCTAATGGTGGATTTTAACCACAATTTGAGGCATTTTGATTTTAATCGATTTATATTAGGACATCACGCCTGCAAAAGACACCAAATAAGTAGTTATTTTTTACTGTTATTACTGTTCAACATTCAATGTTCACAACCATTACTGTCTGATTCTCCCCATCAAGATCTGACAGACATTCTTAGTAAGCCACAGATCTAAACTGCAGTCAAACATAGATGCTCTAGGCCCAGTCTACTAATACACCCCAATAGCAGATATCAGGGCTTTTTAAACAGGTAAACCGTCACTTTATTAAATAGAATTTAGTAGCAGAAATAAGAGAAAAGCTTATGCCGGCACAGACACTCACAAATTCCCAGTCTGAGACCGAAAGAGCTACTTCATGACACACTGAAGGTGACTTCACCTCCTGGATGCTGACCTTTTCCCCTCTGTCCTCAGTGAATGCATTATCATTTTGCCTTTCACAACAACAACAAGAGCAGGCAAAGGATTTGAATATGCGTTTACATCTGTCTGCCATTAATATGCATGCCTGAATCCACAGCCCAATGCAAAGCCAATTTTCTGGCCATCTGGGAGATGGCTGGTGGGGGCAATGAATATTCTTTATGTATATGTTTTATTTCACAAGGTGACAATACATCATGAATGTGCCACTGCTTCACTCTACTCACTTCCTCTCTCTCTTTCTCTCTGCCTCTAAAGATCTATCTATCATCTCTAAAGATGGGGGATGGATGGATGGACAGACGAGGGGACGGTTGGATGAAATGAGTGGGGGAAAAAAATTAAATATTTCTGTTAAAGGAGCCTGAATAAGTTCTACATCTGCTCTGAATGGAGATGCAGCAGAGAAATACGGCTGGGGCTAATAGCTATCATGACTTCTGCAGTAACTACTCTGCAGCCCTGATGTTCATTTAATTATCAAAGTAAGTTACGACCCTGAGAGACAACGCTGAATACTGATTGGTCAAAATGTCCCTGCTCTTTTTCCCCTAATTCTTCACACAAGCATGGTTTAAAACAGTGATTTAACATATGTTGGACACTAGCATCACTGAATCGAACGTGACATTATGATCTAACTATCTGTCTCTAGTGCAAGTAATTCATGAAACATTATTTAAAAAAACAAACAAAGTGTGTTATTTAATACCTGGCACAGATTCAAAGCTTTGTACCTGACGCATGAATCCAGGTTATGAAATGAGGACGGAAGGTGGCGTGTAGAGGACGTGGGCCTTCAGGCACCTTTATATGTCACAAAGATGATTTAGACGTCACTGACAGGATTACTGTTGCCTGCTGGTCTCTGGGGCCCCGGCACAGTCCATTGGCTAGCTGTGTCCTTTAATGATTTATGATTGAAGTTGGCCCCTGAAGTCCCTTGAGGAACCACCACCCCCACGGTGAGAGGCAGAGGGAAGTGACCAGTTTTACGGCAGGACTGGGAATCAATTATGCTAACACTGGCTAATGAATGCACTTGAGGGAACTGCTCCCCACACTCAAGGACCATTTCAGGCATTTGCATATTGATGGCAGCAGGATGGTGGCCACTTTCATCCGGCAGTGATGAAGTACCGTGAAAAAGGATTTTTGTGCCATCATTTCCTCTTTCGCTCGGTTTGTCTTTGCACTTATTGTTACGCTGTTGACATGTATGGGGTACAAGAAGCATCACCTTTGACCTCTACAACACCACCAGTCGACTTGTAATTCATGTTTGTCATTCAGATGCACATTAAAAGATATAAGTGTGTACTTCTCCCCAGTCTTTTACGGATGATCTTGTACTTCTCCCCAGTCTTTTACGGATGAGCTCCCAAAGATTTTCATACTTCCACTCTCACTGATCTTCAGGCCTAGAGACTGATCTTTAGTTCACTCCAAAGACAAAGACAAAGGCAGTGTGTGAACAACCAGAAAGTGTGGTTTTGTCCTTAGACAAAATGATATGGGCCATAATAGTGGGCACCCCACTTTGGGCCCCACTGCGACAGGGTAAAGTTTCTTGTTATTTCTGGGATATTATAGCCTGACAGCAGTGGGACGGACAGATGATCCAGTCAGATGGACAACTGTCAGAACATACTGTAATGCCTGCGGCCACAGCTGTCTCCAGTGTCAAAGAATAAAAGTGGACCACACAAACAATCTTTCTGTCCCTTTCTGTCCTCCTCCCCACTATTAAATACAACCAGCCCGGTGCACTCACACAAAGCCTTTCCTTCTTTTTCAATAGTCTGAAGTCATTTTCAATTAAGACCTTTTTGTGGTGGTGGGCATATGAGGCGTCCTGGAAGTGCTCCAGTTCCAGCCCCCAAAGGACTCTGAGAGACAGTGTATGGTTTAAGGGGAATAATGGAGAGGGCTTTTACTGCCACCAAGGTTAACATGCATTAAAGTCATCTGTTTGCAAAGATGGAGGTCTGGCAACGTTCCCTCCATTTCCACTAAAATGCATTAAAGTAAATAACGCCAGATTGAGAGAGAAAATCACTAAGTTCCATGGCTCTGACTGAAGTAAAGAAGGCTATGAATATGAAATGAGCTATGAATAAGTTATGTGGTGGCGGTGACGCAGCAAAAAAAAAAAAAGTGGGTGTGTGATCAAGGCATCCATTCAAAACATAAAAATGTTTGCCTGTCTCGACCCCACAGTGAAATCAGAACATTAAATAGAAGATATTTAAATAAAATAGGACCAAGACTAGGACTTTAATGTAATTTTGCATGTTCTGAAGGAACATTTAGTATTTTTCCCTCTGACCTACTACATTAAATTTCTATTTTTTCTTTTTTTGCTGAGTGGACTACAAATGTTAGTACTTACCCTGCATGTGTTACTACTGGGCATCAGCACTAGAGATGCCAACCTAGTTTTGTTGCATTTTACTGCTGTGAACTACAATGGTAATAAATATATGTCTTCTCTATTTTATCTTTAAAATAGTGCAAAAATAAAAATATTTCACAATCATGAATATCAACAAACAGAACCAAATGGAACTAAACCTTTTAGTTTTCATAATATCCACAATTACAAACTGTAGCATATATGTTGGACACTGGCCACCAAATGTCACCCTGCGGTCTGCATCTGGCCTGCAAGCCACCTATTTATGGACCCCGAGCTGCCTACTTTCAGAACATGAGCTCAATATGTGAAAGGAGTCTGTTTTTCTTAACTTACCTTAACTAAGAACAGCATTAAGATTTGTAAGATTTTAACATCCAAGATTTGTAGTTGAGCTGAATAATTTAAGTACTTAAGTATATGTAACCCCAGAAAGGACAACAATATCTCCTACAATAAAACACTATAGCATAGTAAAAGTTACACACTGTACTTTTCTAACTACTCCAACAAAAACCACTGAACCAAAAGAGTGTCTTACCTGTGGAAGGTAAAGTTTGGACACAAATAAATTTCTGCAAAGTTGGGTGAGTTCTTGGGTGAGTGACGCTATCAGTTGGTGGAGTAGACAGACACAGACAGACAGGCAGAGTTGGAGGCTTCCATTAATTTGATCTGGTGACATTTTCTTTGCCAGCTCCTGGGGGGAAAGAGCAGGAGACAGGGAGAGAAGGAGTCAGTGAAGGAGTAGTCTTAGTGAGTGTGAGTGTGAGGGTGATATACAGTATAAGGAAAAACAGAGAGACACGGAAGGAGGAGACACTAATGAACGTGGACAACAAAGACCCTAACCTGAGCTCTTGGCCCCTGGAGATAGAGAGAGGATTTTCAGCAGGTCAATAAAAAGCACTGGACCATGTCTGCGTCGGCCTGTCCTTCAAACATCCACTTAGACGCAGTGAGAAAACTCTTGTTCAAGGTCAGTGGAGTAGCCATGGAATCTAAACAAGAAACATTTTGTTTAAACTAAATTTCCAGAAAGATACACTTTATGGTTATATAAATGTACTAAATAAAGAAATAAAGAAATGCAAAATATCAATAAAAAATTCTTCAAACCAACTCAAAGACAAGTGAAGGCATCACAAACCCTTGTAACTGAAAGCAACATTATTTAAACATTGGAGCTCTTGCTAAATTTGATTGATTGGTTTTGTTCAACTGCAACTGAGATCATGTTGGATCTGTTTCACTCTCTCTCTCTTCTTCAAAAAAGCTTGATTTTTAATATTTCAGTGTTATGTGCTAATTGGCCTTATCAACTGCTGATTGAGTAGGAACTAAGGAAAATGTTTTTTTGTTGTTTTTTTTACCTTTTCCTGCATTTTAAAACACTTGTTCTGTTCACCAGTCTGAGGTCACTGTTGCCACTTGTAATTATTTTAGCCATTTCAATAGAAGACAGATCTGCACTAGATAGAACTGTATTGTCAATTAATAACACCTCTTTTAATAAACATGTTTGTTAATGAGTGGACCTCTGATGAAGATGACAGAAACTCATAATAATTTGAATCAATTTGCTCCTGGATATTTATTTCCCACAGCACCCTGGTGTCCCTGCCAAGTCTGCCACATGTAGCCTTTAAAGAACAGATAGGGTGGAGTTTGCCAAATACTGTATCAGCAGGATGAGAAATCAACTCTTGGCTTGTTGTTTCGTTGTATGCACCGAGTGGCAAACAAGACACCACACTGTTATTAATCCCCTCCTTCCCTGGACTCAAACACACACCTCCAACAGACTGGTTCTCATGAATAACAGCGACTCCTAATCTGTATGTACAGTGCTATATCTACCTGTGTATGTGGGGGGGCAGAGCTCAAATATGGGGGGTTTCACACCAGGAGATGCACCTAATGGAGTATGGAGTCAACTCACAAGAACACTGGAGGGCACATACTTGGCTGCTCCCTCTAGACACCCCCCACTCCATCCTCCCAGGTCTAACATATGTCACTCTCAATCTGTTCACCAGCCCATCACAATTCCCCTCTGTCCTAGCACCACTGCAGCAGAGGAAACAGCAGAAGAGGACGGTCAGACAGACAAAAATGAAAACAGAGCAAAAGGGCAGTGGGGGACAACAGTGTCAAAGAATGGGCAACTGCTGTTTTCAAAAAAACTCAGACATACAATGGCCTCCATACATATAAACAATCTTTACAGGCAGGAAAATAACACTGCAATGACAAATATCTGTTATGCCATTGAAGAAAATATAAATACAATCCTTAGTTGGAGGAAGAACACACGTACACATTATTTTCCAGCACTACCTGCTGTATGTTCAACATTTATCTATAACAGCCTTGGCAAATGTAATGAATGAGATGGAAAACATCGCCATCATGTGGCTGCGGTAGGAAAACACATGAAAACAATCTAAAATTGAACTAAAATATAATAGATTAAAAAAAAGCCAGATTTTGTTTCAGGTTTACATTTATGACGTAATGAGCAGCACTCACTCACACCCTTATGTGAATATTAACCAAATAGATCTTGACAAACTATTAGATTATGTAGTTGTTTAGGGTTTTTTAAAGTATATTTTTGAGTTTATTGCATCTCCGCAGTAGCTGACTGAATCCATCTGCATGCTCCTGAATAACAATTAGGTCAACCTTCATGCTTGTCAACTGCCTAATGTGAATCATAATCACATTTTAATGTGCTAAAAAAAGGATAACAGAAGAGAGAAGACAACAGGAGGGAGAGAATTCTGATAAGTTCCATGTATTTGGTTCAAATCTCTGAAAATGACCCAAGAAGAAGGCATTTAGCCAAAACCAAACCAAAACAAACAACACGCCAGCATCAGCTGTGGCACAAAGTATTGAAGGCATTCTCTTGGGATTCCATTCAGGCGTACAGCTCTATGCAATAACCATGTTTTACATCGCCAATCTGTTACAGTGGGATCTCCCCTGCTTCAATCCCATGGATGATTAAGCATGATAATTAAGGTTTTTGGACATTTTCCACAGAGGAGCAGACGCAGCAGCTGGTGACATTCATGCATTCCCAAACACAGAGGAGGGAATAACAATGAGGCCTCCATTCATTCCACTGATCACAATGCCCGAGCTTGGCACCAGTTCAGAAACAGTCAAGCTGCGACTATTTGCCGCCCTCTTTGTTGCAATGTAGGCAATGTACCTTGATCTATTTGGGGAATTACAGAACCATAGCCAAACATATGGGTTCATACAGCACAGATATTCCCTCCCCTGGTCTGGATAACTTGGTCGAACGCTAATAGACATAATTAGAGGAGGTATTCAAGAGTGTACTAGTGGTTTTACAGCTTGTAAATTGTTGGTGTTTGGAAAGAATTTAAAAGGAACTTAAATGTGAATGTAGGGAATAGAATCAAAGATGATGAAAACGGAGAGTAGGGCCCTGAAATTAAGGAGTTGTTTATCGCATAACAAAAACATTTTTTTCAGGAGAACGTCATGACGTTTGACAAAGCTAATTATGGCTAGCCTGGATTCTTAGCCTAAAAAGTAATTCATAAATGTACAGTATTAGTTGTAGCCATTTTCGTTGTCTTTATTCACATCTTCATTCATGCTTCTCGTTAACATTTGAAATTAATTTGTATCTACAGTGTATTTTTAATAAACATACTATTTTTAATAAACTCGAGGGAAGAAAAACACTTCTAAACCGTAAGCTTTCTTTGTCCTCTAATTTTCTTGGTCGAGTCTAAAACCCGCTTTTCCCCCTAATTTCTTCTAATGTGTTAAAAAACGTCAACACAGTTTTCATGCCAAACTATTAAAAATAAAATATAACCTCACTTACCGCCAGGGCTGTCGTGTCAAAAACAATTTTAACCGTTTCTTCACACCTGTAGTTAATATTATAAGACGACTCCGTTTCCCATAATGCACTTCAAGCGGGAAAGCCGGAGTAGGTGGGATGAATCCATGGAAACGACAGAGTGGCGTGCTAGCCTTAGCAAACACAGCTAGCTGGTTGGCTAGTTGATTCCTTACAAACATAACCGTGCGCTCGTCTACATAAAAGTTACTGTTTTTCTGCAGAATGAGTCGGACACCAGATGCAAGAGCGAGGTAAGAGACGATTTACGAAGTAAAAAAAAAATTTTCCCAGACAGCTGTAAAGAACTGCGTGTTACTGTGAATATGCAGTAGCTAGCTGTTGGTGACATACCTTTTGCGTTTAATTCTTACTGCAGGACAGTTACTTAGCAGTCAGTCTTGACTTTACGATGAATGTGAATTACGAATTGCTGTATTGTTCCATCCATTTCAAAATATAAATGACCAGGACACATTCACCGCAATCAATAATTAACAACTAGAATGTATAATGTGTAACAACGCTATTCGCAAAGTTGAATCATTTTTATATGACATATATTACGATATTAGTCACTGCACTTAAAGATATTTATTGTAAAGGAGTTCTGGTGCAGTCAAGACCACAGTCTCTCTGGTTAGCTTTGGTGTCTGGTTCTGAATAAATGTATTCAGAGAGATGATGTTGTAGAAGGTTTTAAAGTCAATAAAGGTACAAATAAAATCTTGCAGTATATACTGATTATGTGCAATTATTCTGAAAAGCTAAAGTCATTTGGTATCTTTCACTTTTATTTTAATGTCTATTATTCTTTCAATATTTATATTATTACTTATTAGCATTTAAGATCTTGATCTTCCTTGTTGATGCAATACAACAATAACAGTGTGGGATCAAAACAGTTCTAATTTCATAGATTAGATTAGATTAGATTAGATTAGATTTGAGAGACCAAACCCCACAACGATGGCCATCTTTCCATCTCACCACATACAAAAAGAAAAGCAATTTACAACACTGCAAACTGAAATGTAACCGAGCCAAACAACCTGAATCTCTACACCTCACAGCAGAATCATCTCCCAGCAACTGAACAACAGCCCTTTGGGGAAAAACAAGGCAGGCAATCAAAGAACCTCAGGTGCTTTGGACGTCCTAAAAGACCTATTACAGATTGTTGCTCAACTGACTCATTGCAAACAACAGGTGACAAGTGGTTGGGCAACAGTTGTGATTAAAACAGTTTCTGTTGATTATTAATCCTCATAGAGATCTGTCCGTGTTGTAGCAAAACTAAAACAAACAGCATTCAACACTCCTGGGAATGTGATAAAAACACTGTTATCCTCCACTGTTCATGGCTCGAGCATTAAACACAGAGACAGATTTTTTTAACATAATTGCCTTGTCTCTTCTTCTTCTCCTTCTTCAGGGACAACCAGACGAGGAGGATCCAGGAGAACATCACTAACATAGAGAAACATTTTGGTGAACTGTGCCAGCTGTTTGCTGGTTATTGCCGTAAAACAGCCAGGTTACGGGATAAGTCCGACCTCCTGGTGCGTGAAATCGGGCTTTTCGCTGACACAGAGACACCCAATCTAAAGCGGGGTATGAAGCAGTATGCCGACCACTTGGCTAAAATTCAGGACTACCGCCAGGCTGAGGTACAACCTTAGTAGCTGTACTTGCAACAGTGATGACATCCTAACAGTCAGAAACAATACACTTACGTCAACTTGTTTATCTTGCAGGTTGAAAGACTTGAGGCTAAAGTCATAGAACCACTGAAAAGCTATGGAGCTGTTGTCAAGCGTAAAAGGGTAAAAACAACATCAACACCAACATCAAGTTATAGTCGAGTTTTTTTTCTTAATCTTAAATATTATTGAGTCACCCAAGAAAAGGTTTTTATACAAATGTTTTACTTAACTAACCAAATTTGGGTTCTAGCAATTGAAATTAATTATTTTAGGAAGAAATACATTTTCGACCCATTAAACACGATATCTAAAATAACATCACCTTAAAACAAGAAATAAAATAACATTTTTGGATTATTTACTACTACTCTATATCCACAGGGGGGCAGCATTGCGCCTCGTCCCAATGCTTTTTTACGGTACAGTCAGCATCAACCACACATACAAATTAGTATAAAATAAAACTATTTCCATTGTAAAATTGTAAAGGTTTTTAAAACACATTGACACAGAACCTATCTTATAGTGTGAGCTTTAGAACCTAATGAGTGAGCACCAAGGTTGTATTATATCACTGTATTCTAATCAGTATCAATGTTACTTGTGGTAATGGCTGCCTTGTCCTTGTGTATTCATGCAGGAGGATCTGAAGGCGACTCAGAGTGCCAGAGACAGAGAAGCCAAACAGATGGCTCAGCTGGAGAGGACCAGACAGAGGAACCCCTCAGACCGACAGATCATCGTATCCTTCCCTTGTTTCGTCTTATTAAGTGTCTGTCAGACACTGTGCCTTTAAGAAACAAAACATCTACTTTGCATGTTTCGAAAGTAAACACAACAGACATCAACATTTGAATGTTTCCTTCACCGACTCTTCAGTCTCAGGTGTGTGTCATCCATCAGCAGCTCTGTATCTGTCGTCACTGTGTGATCACATGACCTCCAGGAGAACACATATCCCTGAGAAGCTTTAAAGCAGGAGTGTGACAAATCCCTCAGGCACCGTCCATGAAAACCTGCCTGTCAAAACACAGTATCGACTGCAGCTCTACTTTTCATTACTTTTAAATATTGCAGTACATGGTAGCAGTGACACGACTGCGACTGCAGTTGTTGTCACACAGTTCCACTCAAATCCACATCAAATCCACTCATCTGAATTTAATGCTCATTTTTGGATGTTATCTTTTTATCCGGCGTGCATACTGATTGTGTTATATTTCCCATTTGCAGAAGATAAAATGCAGAAACGATTACTTCCCCTTTCTGCAAAAAAAAGCATTTTATCATATGTCAATATCTGCACAGCCTTTACAAGTGAATAACGTTTTAAAACTCCAGAATACTGCAATGATAGTGCAGCGCTATTACTGTGAAGTATCAATCTGGTGTCAGGTGCTTTCCATTTGACCAAAATTCCTACTAAGTGCCAGCTTACTGGCTACTTTCCTAATAAATCAACAAGTACAAAGCAGCGCTGTTGAAGTGTATGCAGTGTTGCATCACACTGATGCAACCGTCTGTTGTCTTTTCCTCTTGTTCTGCCACCAGGCTGAAAGTGAGCTCCAGAGAGCGACCATGGACGCCACACGGACCACCAAGCAGCTGGAGGAGACCATAGACGAGTTTGAGAAGCAAAAGATCCGAGACATCAAGGTCGGCTGTGCTCAGCTCAATGTGTTCTCTATAAATAAGAGCTGTGAGAATTTCTACTATGGTGAAACACACAACCCAGTTACAGTGGAGTTAATGCACTTTCTAAAATCGCAATGCTGTAAAAGCTAAAATATGTCATTTGGTAAAGTTTGACACTTTCCTTATTAAAACGGAAAGCAGAAAAGTCAAACTGTTTCTATCAAAAAATGAGAAACTCATTTTTGCAACACGCTCGATTAAGCGATTAATTAGCAACATTTGGGTGTAAAAATAGCATTTTCTGAAGTTCTTCCCAGCAAAAAACGAAGCGGGATTCTGAGAAATCCCTGTCAGTGTACAGTATGTGGCCATAGAAACTGTTAGTCAACAGTGACAGACTTTTACCACTGTTCAGGTGAATGTGAAAATCCACTCTTTCATTTCACATACATTAATTATTATAAATGCATTTTTATGCAACAGTTTTCAAAAATTCAATATCAAAAATCATTTTTGTTTCACTTGACAGAAAATATTTGGTGAGTTTGTGACAGTGGAGATGTCCTTCCATGCCAAGGCTTTGGAGGTGTACACTCTGGCCTATCAGAGCATTCACAGTGTGGATGAAGAGGAGGACCTGGAGGTAGGTTCACCTCAGGAAAGTGGAGCCCTGCTGTTCTACAGCATAAATATTTGTGTTTCCTAGAGCATGCAGAGTAATTATTAGGAAAAAGGATGTTTGTTTAGATGCGTCCGTGTGCAGGACAAAGGCTGACGCGCAGCTCTGTACTTAATGGACCCCGTGGTTATATTTAACAAGTTATCATCTATTACTCATCAACCTATTGCTCATGCGTGCTCAGCCGTCCACACCCACCCAACTTTGAGTTAACCTGCGGTGACAACTGCATATTCCAGAGTCATGCTAGCTGCTGACTCCACTTTACAGCCTGGTTGAGGAGGTTTGTAAAAATGAAGAAATACAAAAAACAAAAGGATCAGAAATATTGAGGTTTCTCCTCCACCATTTGCCATCTCATCTGTATTTTTGTACTGAATCACCCGCCCTCCCCCCTCCCTCTACATCCATTCATATTCAAGCGAAACTCCTCACCCTGCCCAGGCTGTTTTTCGGTGACTCATAGCACAAAGCATGGGAGATTGAATCATATGAAAACAGGCACAATGACAGGCATGAAGATAATCCTGATCAAGAGCCCAGGCTGTGGCCTCAGCAGAAGTCTGCTGTGCTGCCAGAAACACAGCTGCTGCTGTGACTGTCACCAAGGCTGACAGAGAGCTGGTCGATGACAGAACACTTTTATTACTGAATTATATATTCTAGACACAAGAAACAGTCGGGTAATTATTCTGGTTAGAAAGGAACAAAACACGAAACTAATGTTCAGTGGATTTAACCTTTCAGTGATGAGGACATGAGTCACATTTTGAGTTGTAAGTGAACTTCAGCTATAAATGTGCATCACAGCTCTTTCATTTCTGATGGTTTACAGATATAGAAACGTGATCTGAAATGAGGAAAGTCTCTAATAACTCTTGTCATTGTGTAGTTCTAGTGTACAGTACTGTGAAAAAGTCCCTGCTGATTTAATGATGTTAGCATAACTGCAGTGAATTCAGGAAGTGTTCACAATCTAAAAACATGTTAAGTTTTAACGGAACAACTCAAATCATACAGCTCAAGTCAAAATCTACTAGAATCATCTAGAGGCAGAACTGATATTCTACTGGAAACTAAAATATTGTGGTTGCCTGAGTTTATTACGACTCAGATGTGTCTGACATCAGAATTGACCAATCACATTGGAACTATTGTCTGAAGCCGCTAGTATTAACCATAAACCTGAAAATGGAGTACTGCTGTTGTTGAAGAATTGTCTTACCTCTAACTGAGCACTGAGCTGCTCCTCACCAATCACATCTTCCACCATGAGGCCTGGTCCAAATTTCAGGAGGTTAGGCGTTAGCATCACGCTCTGGGAGCCGTCGTTCCTAATCTGGAACCAGAAGGTTTTGTCAGCAGTGAGGTAATATTTGAGATGAAATTGAAATAATGTTAAATGAAACCCAAACACTGTAATCAAAATTAGCTCAATTTAATAATTGAATAAAAGTTTGTGTATTTGTATGCAACCACATTATTTTGGTCTGAGACTTTTTCGCAGTACTGCACAATCACCTGTAGGTGTTCTAGGCACTGCTCCTGTTCCTCTGTGTATAAAAGTCTAGCGCCTCCCACTGTCTTTGGCAGGTGTTCAGGAGTTCACTGCACCCCCCCGACTACCAGTCCCGCTTAGACATAGTGCGAGCTAATTCTAAAACTTCCCTCGATCGGACCGGCTCCTTCCTGAGCACATCAGGAACCTTACAGGTAAGATACAGACGGCACCGCAACGGGAGTCTCCCCAGGAGACCCCTCTTGATCTGTTTCTGCTGTGGCACCCAGTCTGACACTTCCACGTTTTAGTAAAGGTGATGAAATTTTCATCAGGAAATTTTCTCCCTCGATTTCCTCATACCAGACGTCGTCTGGGCGTTCAGTAACAGCACATCTTATCAGTTCTGCCAGTGCGTATGTGTGGCATCACCTCAGCCATCTTTCACTCGAATACCCCCACCTCCACACATGTCAAAGCCAGAGAGACTATCATCGTACATGACGCCAGAATCATCACTTGTTTCCTCATCCTCTACCAGTGTTACCTCAGCATTCACCACTGCCTCGGCACTAACTTGTTTATTAAAACAAAAACTGCCTTTAAACACACCTGGACGTCAAGTGGAAATGTTGGAGTTTTGAAACAGTGGCTGTTGCACAGGGTGTGTTGATTTCCAGTTGTTATCTCACGCAGTCGGAATTCTATTTACACCTGTCATCAGAACATTCTTCGACAAACATCCTGTGTCACAATTCAGCCATTCTTTCTGGCTGAGATTATTTTGGATATAATCTGTGAGAAATGCATTTCCTGGTTAACCAAACAAGTTGTAGATGTAATGCTGGCACTTTTATAAGTGTGTTGGGCTAAATGCATGATAAATGTGAGAAGTTATTTTAATAACAAGAGGAACATGTTGTAAGTGTGTTAAACTACATTCACACTTGTATCGGTTTATAATAATAACAATAATTATAATAATTTAGATAACAACAATTAAGGAAGTAACAGTACGACTTCACAACATCTTAAACATATATTACAACTAGGAAAAAACTGTTAACTGATACAGAAAATGCACAAATGAGGAAGCTGTAAGCCTTTGCTTAATTTAGAGTTAGATGTAGATGCAACATGTCAAAATTTAAATTCAAATTCTGAATAGAGCACACTGTACGGGGCGGGCAAATACAACTATCGTGGAGCCGCCACATAAACACGTTCACAGCCATGGCTTCAAAACTCCACTGAACTTTACTGAAAACCCTTTCTTTCAGCAAGAGCTGCTATCATCATAGGAAATTAAATGAATATATGTGTTTATACATTTATACACATATATATATTTCCTCAAGTTTGTTTAATTCCTTATTTGTGAAGTAGTGTTTTTAAAATCCTCTCTGTTAAAAGTCAGGACAGAAACAGCCTGTCCACCTTTTCTTCTCTTCCTTATTTGAAGCGACTTTTCCAGTCATTCGTCTCCGTCCAGCCCCCAGAGAAACATTAGGAATCATCAGTTGTGATTATTGACGACCCGCTGAGTGTTGTAGCTGTTCGCTCACGGTGTGTTTGTTGTCACAGCAACAAAGAGCCTACAGTCGGCAGACGAGGGGCGAGGAGGAGGACAATGATGATGATGATGAAGACGAGTCTGAGGAGGAGGAAGAGGAGGAAGAAGAGGAGGAGGACACAGACGATGAAGACTAGCCTCCTCATTTGTCCCGTTTGTGTCTATTTGAACCAAGTGGTCTGTTGTTGAAGAAACTCCGTCATTGCCAAACTCGACTCTGTTTACAGTTGGTGTGTGCAGTATTGTAGCCCTGTTTGTTAAAGATCCTGTTCAAACATTTGTCTTTCTTATTTTCTACCATTTTTATTGTTTTGATGATATTTTTATACATGCCCTGAAGCCCCCGTCAGAATTACATCACTCCTTTTATCAATAAAACCAACTCATGTTCGACATCGCTGCACTGATTGTGTTTTCTAAGCGAAAAAAAAAAACCTTCCCTTGGTGTGTTTGCTTAGAAAAGCCTGCAGAGAAGTGGATTGTTGTTTTAGAAACTGTTGGTTGTGTGAATCAGCCTAAGTGATGATAGTTACACAGTGGCTGCAACTGAAAGTGACTCATCTTTTCCACAGACATGAAAACGTCAGGGACACTTTGCATTATATTGTCCGTGTTTATCGGTACATGTGCTCTGCTGCCTGGAGATGTACGTCTCTATATTCATAAAATGACACGTTATAAAAGCAAATGTGTGTGTGTGTGTGTGTTGTCTGTCACTGTCGAGGCTCCTGTCACTGCCAGCTGATGGCTCCTAGCCCTGTCTTGTATGAGTCACTCTGCACATTTATTATTCCACAGCTGTGCCCATGTCATGATGAATTATTTTCTGCCGTTGGACACAACACACACACACACACACAGGCACACACTGTACTTACTGCAAGTTGAGATGGTTATCTACTTGACAAATCGACAGCAGTTGAACAGTAATCTGTAGTCTGCAGTCGATCAATTCACTTAAACCTTTAGTCAATAGGTAAAAAACAAATGTAACAAATAGCATTCAACCAGTAGACACAAGGTGCCACCCACCAAAGGATCAGACCCTGCAGCAAAGATGGTTTCCCTGGTCACATGATGGAAATTTGCCAAGGAATCATAATCCCTGCAAAAATATTATGATACAAGCAACAGGTATAAACTAACACCAAAAAAAAACTTTTTAAATAACAGAAGTACTGCAATAAACAATACTACAAGTAAAGTATTTACCATTTTTAAAAATGTATTGACAAGGTCTGTAAGCTGAATAACAGAAGACAAAAGCACTGATGTCATTGGCTGCTTTAAAAGAGAGGTTTGTCCTTACATATGTTTATGTTTATGAGACTACGGAGACTATGGAACTTGAAGAAGCTACATCCTGATCAGCTCAATAAATAAGGAATATCCTTTTTTAACTTTGTGTAGGTAAACTTTTACTATTTAAAAAAATGCAGTTACAGTACAATGTCAATTAAAAATAAACTTAATTTGATTTATACGTCATTGCCCTGGCTTGCCTTCAACCTTCCCCTATAACCTAAAGACAAAATGTTTACCAGTGTGTATCAACAACTGCATGGTACTGCAGGTTAATGTGTAATATGCAAACTCAAAGTAACGCAGTCACGTACGTTTGACTCCAGTGCACTGCAGGCCAGAGCGGGCCACGTTCCACTGAGTCATCACCTATAAAGTAAGTTTGTTTGTGTGGCGTGAGTCACACAGCTTTTCCAGTTGCAGATAAACCTAAAGGCTCCACTCCCTGATCACAGTGCAGAAGAGAGGACCGTGACCGGCCAAAGAAAAAAGGATCCGTAAGAGTTGAGGAAAAAAAAAAAAGAAAGGCCAGTCATTATGTTTGCCAAGAGTCTAAAGGCAAGAGACAAGAGGAGGTTATGACTCATTGACTGTTAAAAACAGCGAGTGAAAAACAAACGGATATCCATGCACGGAGCCAGATGTGAGGAGAATGAGGAGGAGGATTAGGGAGGAAATCGGGGGACAAATGCACCTTCACGTCCTATTGCTCAGATTAAATTCCCTCTGCACACTCCAGCCTCACGCAGCTGCTTTTGAATGCATCACCTTCCCCTACGGCACTAGGTTTATCTGTGTTTTTAGAGAGAGTTGTTATTCCTTCAACTGCAAAAATAAATAAATAAAAAACTGATGTCGACCACTCCAAAAGAATTTGCAATGAAATGAATCTCTTTACCTTAAAAAACCCTCTTTCCTTAAACACCAGTGCTACGTTCAACGGACTGTTCCTCTAAGCAGCCACCAGGTGGTAGTGCGCAAACCTTTAATTTCGCCTAGTGCATTTTTTAAAAAGCAGCCATACTGTATATGGAGACATTATGTTCTTTATTACATTCAGTTATTTTCTCTTATCATATTGAGTTGTGCAAAATGTGAAACTGAGCTTTGGACCGTGTGACAAAAACAAACGTGTGTGTGTGTGTGTGTTATCATCTATTCTCAGTTTCATGCATACTGCTTTATGATTCAATCATTATCATCTGCACTGCTGCGTTTTTTTACTACTGACTGAGCCATGAAAGGTTAGCATTCCATTCATTATTCTTGATCAATACTTAACATTTTTTATTCCACTGCCTGGAAAAGCCAGTGCAGTTTCCACCGTTGTGCGGGAGAGGATTTAATATTCCATTTACTCCCCCTTCGAGTATCTGAGCACAGTTTCTGTTGAATGTACACGGGAGTGATTCATAGGTCAAACCTAATGGAGTAGTTTGTGATGGCGCAGGACACTGTGATTGGCTAACCACCTACTGATCTGGCACACACGCAGCTAAGGATTCCCCTCTCCCCTCCTGACTCATCTGCAGTCATTCCCAGTGACGAGTGAGCCGCTGTTTGTTTGTATAAAGGAGATGAAACTGGATGTCTTGTTTGTGCTGTAGGAGTGTCCCAGAAACTCCTCAGTCCCATCTGGGCTACGCTGATGGTTTCCAGAGGAAATGCTGCGTACTCACATGTACACATGTGGTGCAGAGGTACTGTATGTGGACATCCAGTTCACATACATGTTCTCCACGGACTCCCACTGCGAGGTCGTTGGGAACATTAAATGCAGCGCGGTGCTGGAGGCTGTTATAAAATCGAGAGGCAGCATAGCTGGAGTGTGACTCACACACTGACTCACTGACAGCCCTGCCGTTGCATGTGTATGTTTCTGTGCGTCTGTGCGTGTCTGACCCTCACACCATGACTCTCTCCACAGACCTGTGGTGTGTCCTGGTGCTGGAGGATCTCTGAACCCTGCCACACTCTGTGGATTTCACTCCAGCAGACACAATTACATGCAGGACGTGTCCTTCCGTGCCGACCTCATCTCCTGTGTCCTATTACTGTGTTGTGAGATCAACACTGACACACAACTCCTGGCAAATTTGATTTAGCAGAGCAATTCTTCATCTATTTCCTCCACAGAAAACCCCACTTAAAGCATTGATAGAGCATTTTGAAAATGCAACAAATTGAAAATACATTAAAATATTATTTCAATAGAGAGTTAAATCATTGCCTAGAATCTGTCTGTTGGATGTGTGTTTGTAACAATAGCAATAAAGTGTAACCTGAAACCATTTCACTTCTACAATAAACCAAGAGGTAATGAAAATGAAGTGCAAAATAAAAAGGCAGACAGCCATCGAACCATTTCCTTAGTCCATATCTTCAACCCTACATCTGTTTATTATTGTCCCTCTATAACAAACTCTAAAAAGTGAATCAACTCCACTGTTATAACAAGGCAGGCAAACACAAATTGATCTTCAACAATTATTGGAAAACTTTTTAACAATTAAAGGATCTTCTTTTAATGTACTGAGCCTTTTACATTATTGTCTAATTTACTTCATTTTGCATCATTGCTTAACATGACAAGTTTCCTATGGGATGGGATCAATAACAAGGTTTAATCCAATCCAATCGTAATTTCATCTAATCTAATCCCAATCAAATCCTTATCCCCAATCCAATCCAATCTCATCTCATGTCATTCAATTCATTCAACAAGTATCAGTAAAACCCATGAATAAAGTGCATCTAAAAGAGTACTGTGATTCAAAGTAACAATTAGTAAGATTTACAAGCAAGACAGCCAGACTTGGTGTAACTGCAGAATGTGCTGTACTTGTGCTTCCAGTCACGTGTTTCTTATTAACAGAGGAGGAGATCTGGAGCTGCTGTCGTGTGTCTTGCCAACATGTGTACAGTAACCACTCCTGCTCCCCTCTTTTTTTCCTTTTTTCATTTATGCTGCTGCACGAACGTGTGGTCAGGGGTGGAACAGTGTCTGCAGGAGTCCAGGATCTCAGGTACAAACCTAAATCAACATATGTCAGCACTTTTAACACGCTGGCTGTATTTTAAATCTGCATGTATATTGGTATGTGTCAGTGCTGTGGTGCTGTGCTGGGCTACAGTATATCATCTGCAGGTAATAAAGCAGAGAGTGACTTCTTGTTTATTTTCCAAAGCCTGACAGTGGCGTCAGTTGGATATCTCTGCTCCTCATAAATCAAGGACTGTAATGAAAAGGAGGGAAGTGTGTTCTGTACACAGTGATTTTGATGCACGGCCACATTTCCTGATGTTCACAAAACACCTGAGAAAATCCAAATATGCAGATTGATTCATCCACTGAGCCGGTCTTACGCTCTGGGAGTGTCCAAACTTTTTTTTTAGTAGGAGGCCAGATTTGAAGTCAAACTCTTCTTTGCTACTTTTTTGTGCACACAAAATATTGAACTATCAATGAAAGAGTTATTAGAACCTAAAGTTAAAAACTGCTTTAAGTCGCTCAGAAATCTAACTAAATTCTTGGGTCAGAAACTACCATAAATAGCCCCAGATAGCCCCAGATATAGAAAAACTTCAACGCAAGAACAACAAATAGCTGAGAGTGGATCAGAAATAAGTCATGAAATAACGCAAAAGGCTAAAATCTACCTGAGAAATACAATTATTATAATTACATTAACAAGACATGAGGAATTTTAGACAAAAACATTAAACAGTTTCCAATCATATAACCACGAAGAGTGAATAATAACTAATAGATAGCCAATATATATATAACCTAATAGTTTTAAGCTAGCCAGAACAGGGGCAACACAAATGAATAATAACAGGTCAGACAAAAACAGTAACAATTTTTATAAAAACCACAAGTTTAGCCTGGAATTCACCAAAAAGTCAGTACGACAGCAGTTTCACCAGTGCAAGAATATTTGGAAAAAATCCCCAGATAAGTTACGAGCCACATTATTCCTGTCCAGGTTTGGCCCTGGGGCCTGATTTTAGACACACCTGCTTAAAGGTGACATTAGAAACAAATAGATTTACTGGAGTTCTCCCTCGTTGTTTACTGGAAGTGTCTCAGTTCCGAGCGTAAACGCTCGACCTGATCTCCAGGTTTGTCTTCATGCTCAGCTGCCACTCTGTCCGCCCCGCAGCTGTTGTTAATGATTTCGAAATCATCTGTTTTCAAAGGAATGACAAGGAGAGAGTTCACTGCGTGTGAGGTTGTGTGCATGTGTGTATGTGTTTTCATCAATTGATTGCGCAAGAGGCTTATCAGACTGAGCAGAGCTGTGATCAGTCACTGAGGCCTTGGCTCAGGCCTGTACGGAAGCGTCAGCCTGTGTGTGATTGTGTGTCAGTGTCACC